CTCTCTCTTCACTCACACACACACACACAAATCAGCTGATCTGATAAAACGGACCACAGCACAAGAGAAGTGCAACACACACTGACACTTCGAATGTGCTTAATTTATGGTTTATTTGACTATGCGTTCGGCACCTCAGTAAAAAAAGCCTCGAATGAGGAACACTAATGAATAATGAATTAAAAAGGACGTGGAAGGAACCAGTCGTGGCCAAATTTCAGATACTATACCAGAGTTTGCATGGAGATACCGAAGAAGATCACGAAAACATAACAAAATAGTTGGTCTACGAGCCAAGATTTGAACCCGAGACCTCCAGAATACGAAGTAGGACTGCTAAGTTTTATTTTTCTTTCTTTCCTTCATTTTTTCCTCCCGCTCTACGTTCTGGGTTATGCACACGTGCTTTCTGCGGCTTCAAATGTTACCAACTGGGTATTACACCTACCTACAGCGAAATTTGGTTGGAGGAACCGAAGTCAAATTATGAGAAGTGTCAGTATCCAACCGGACCGAATACTAAGATACATGGTCGACCAGTACACCAGAGAATAAAGTTTTCGCTCTCAACACCAAGGTGTTTCACCTCCCGGAAATCACCACTCGAAAAAGCGCCTCGAGTAAGCTACTCACTGGACAGGAGACCTAACTACCCCTGCCGGCAGATCGATCCCCGGCCATTAACTTTTCACGGACCTGAAGACAGAGGGAACATCAGGCTAGGTCTTGACTAAACACCACACCATAAAGCCGAAAATGTAGCGTCGGACTTGAGACCCCCGCGTTCTCAATCACGCCACGAGATGGAGGTGAGTGATCGGCCACATTAACCAGGGGTTACAAAGCGCCGCCAAGCCCGATTACAACAGATGCGGTGTGTCTGCCTGAACATTCAGACCACATCGCGTTTGATGAATGCTTTTGTGATAACCCACTCATGTAGCGGTACACACCAGTTAATAATCTCTCCACGATAAATCAGCTTCAAATTGCCTCAGGAAAAAGTGATGAATAATGAGCTGGATTAGCAATGTTGGGTTGTGGTCCATTCTACTGCACAACTGTGAGAGAATAAAAAAATTAATGTAGATTAACCGCACTACGAATAAATATTGTGTCAGTGTATAACTAACA